CAATAGCTAGGCAGGAGAATAAACAGGAGAAATCTAGGTTCAGGAGAGGAGAATGAAAGAGGAAGGAGAAGAGAATAAGGGAGGAAGAGAGCAACATGCCTGGGGTCAGAAACCAGGCAGCCGCCAGCCAGCCAGCCAGCCACAAGGGGCAAGAAAGTAAGATATACAGAAGGATGGAAAAGTAAAAAGCCCCAAGGCAAAAGGTAGATAAAGGAAGCAGGTTAATTTAAGTTAAAAGAGCTAGCCAGAAATGCACCTAAGCTAGGCAGGCATTTATAATTAATAAGAAGTCTCCATGTCCTGGTTTGGGAGCTGGTTGGTGGCCCAAAAGAAAAAGCCTGGTACACTTCTTGTCTGTGTTTCTTCTTATCCTGGTACAGAAGGCGGGGCAGCGCCTGCAGAGTTACTACCACGCCCACTTGCCAAATTGGCAATAGTGATTCCCAAATGATAATTTGTGTGCCTTTAATAAATTTATTTTGCCCACTTTCAAGCATCCTTCTGTTATGCTGTTCTCTTCATTTGAACAGGCAGACCATTCTGTGCTATTGACTCAGGGGGAAAAAATCAGAAAAGAAACAAAATAAAGCATGGATTGTTTTTTCCCAGCTTTGGTTTTCAAAAAACTTGAAGCCTTCAGAGGAACATCAAGATGTGCATGGATATGGAAGCTAGTATGGTAACCCACACCTGTTATTCTGGCACTTGAGGCCGAATGAGGTGGGAGGATTGTTGGGGGTTTGAAGTCAGCCTGAGTTACAGTGTGAGAACCTGTCCCAAACAAACGGGGGTGGTGAGATGGCTCGGTGGGTAAGGGTGCTGACTGCCAAGCCTGACAGTCTAAGTCTGATCCCCAAGACCTATAAGACAGAAGGAAAGCATTGACTCCTAAAGGTTATACTCTGACCTCTACACACACTGTGGCACAACTGCGTAACACACACACACACACACACACACACACACACACACACACACACAAAACAAACAAACAAAAAACAACCATGTAATAAAGGTGTGGACATGTACAATATGATCAGAACAAGGGTGGGGGGGAGGGAGACAGAGACAGAGGGAGTGGGGGAGGGAGAGGAAGCAGGGTGGTAGTGGCAGCATACACCTTTAATTCCAGCACTTGGGAGGCAGAGGCAGGTGGAGTTTTTGAGTTCCAGGACATCCAGGGCTACACAGAGAAACCCTGTCTCAAAGAAACCAAAAAACTAAAACCCAAACCAAAAGAAAACAAAACAAGAGATTCTCTTTCAGACCAGCAAAGACTCCATCGTTTGGGGCAGGAAATGGGTACAGATAGGGAGGAGGAGACATGGAGAAGGTGAAATGGTAAGTAGAACATAGGAAGTCACAGAGGATAGAGAACCTGTGCTTTGTTTTCTGGTCAGAGTTCTTGGACCACAAAGGACTAG